AGGACTGTTTAGTTTAAGTGGACACCTTAGGTAAACGAGAACAATTTGCTATTATATATATATATTCACGTTCATTTTTAAAAAATCGTAACCATGTATTAATATTATAATATATGTTCATGTGGACCAATAAATAAAATTAGCCATACCAAATACAAATAGACCAAAAACGCGTGGAATTGCGATGCCAAGGTGTATGGTCTAAATTATTATTATTCTTTGTTATAATATTTTAAATCAACGGATGTCGATTGGTAAAAACAAAGTTTCAATTATTTTATCATTTAAGAGTTTTTTCATTTAAATTCCCGAACTATATCAAGGTCATGACCGAAATTAGGCACTAATTTAAAATATATAAATCCATTGATGTTGTAAGCAAAGGTGTCTCTCGAAGCTTTTTTTTACACGCGAAAACAAATTATTATTTTTTCCTTTTTAATTTCGTTCTTATTAACTGTAAAAATATTTCAACATTTGTGTGATTGTGATAAAAGCATGAAAACATATGTTGTGATAAAAGCAATTCTGTGATTGTCGTGTTGAGAAAAATGTTTTTACGTAGAAAATGTTGCCGTTGCAAATAGCACAATCGAATATTTCCGCAAGACAGACAAACAAGATTAAGAAGAAATATTGTGTTAATTTCTTAGATCATTGTTATTGTAGAATTTAAAAATGGTAGAAATAAAATTAACATGCATGAATTCATTTTTATTGAAAAAGACTAATCAACGATTTTTTGCAGTTAAGAATTAGTGATGGGTAAATAACTACCAAATACCTTGTTAAATCTTACGTCTTTTTTTGGAGTTATAAATTTTACTTGGTTCCAAAAGATGAATAAATAATTTATGAGATTCAAGTATATATTTTAAACCCATCAAGTAAATTCTAATTATACCGATAGAGTAATCCTAAATATTGTGGTTGTCGACAGTGCCTGTAGTTTATTCTACGGTGGCTCCATGTACTAGTTTATAGTTATTTGTTTTTATTTTTTAGCATATCCTATGATTTTGGCGTTCATGAATTTTTTTCTTGATTTTAGAAGTCGAACTATGGATTTAAGTTTATATTTTGCCTCTTCTTTTCAACCTGAGCAGATCTCCGTTGTACCGTATCAGTGACTGTTAGTTCTCCATCATTTCTATCATGTCATTTCATGTCTGGCGTTCCTTCATCCTCCCCGTAGTTGTTTTATTTTTTTGGTGTAAATTGACGTATTATGTAATGATCTCTTGAGAAACACGTAACAATATATTCAGCTGGTAAAACTTTAATTTTATGGGACTTTATAACTCCCTTGTTGGAGTTTAGATTTTGCTTCTTGAGTTAGTCTTTGATGCTTTAAAGATGGAATTTTTTTGCAGGGATTTTGTTTTTTTAGAAGATCTATAATTTGCCGTAGATATTTACATTTTAGCCGATTCAGGCAGTCTATATGGTTTGCCTTTTGTAGTTCAAGTTTGTTTGGCGATGCTTAGGACGGGTTCCACCGAAACTTCACTTCCGAAATAAAATTGACAAAAAACAATCAAAGAAAGAGATTTATTAGAACTTCGTTTGATATTATTGTGCAATAATTTTTTTTTATTATTATCATAAGATTCAAAACAAAACTTTTTTGGTATCATCAATGTGTCTTAACTAAATTGCTGGTGCAAAAAAAAAATCATTAGTTTTTTCTTGTATTCTATCCATCATATCTCTTTCATCAAAAACAGAGAATTTTAAAAAAAATTAAACGTGACACACTAATGTAAGCCAAGACATGTTCATTTCTGTTGATAGTATAATAACGAGATAGTTATACAAGTTAAACTAAATAAAAGATCTGACTTGTTCTTTTACTATTTTCTCTTTATCATAAATACCAAATCTAAAAAGAAGCAGGTGGGTTAAAAAAAAAGAAAGAAAATTGGGTTG